AGTGTAAATAGTGTAAAATAGCTCATATAATATATAATGTATGTATATATATATTATATATATATACAATGTTCACGAGCGTTATCGCGGACTATAAACAGAAGATCGTTAGTAGACCTAAACAAAATCTGTTAACAAAGCCATAGATAGAGTAAACACCCGTAGCTCTTTGTTTAAGTTTACCAGAACGTTCACTGCATGCCATCCAAGTTTCTATACAAGACACCTGCTCGGCCTTGGCCCGTATCACAGATCAGGTGATGTCGGTGATATTATTGGTCACCGACATTCCCCACTTATAATTGGGATACCCAATTAGCCAGGAAGAGAGTCGATCTAAGCCACTTTCTTCCTGGCTAATCTTCATTACCGCACAAACTCTCGGGCAGTCGTAGTCAATTGGTAAATCGAGTGAAATCGTATTCCGTCGGACACGATACTTGTACATACGTGTGAGACACAGCTCTCTAATAATTCATCGCCCGACACCTAACTAGTTCACCGCGACGAAATTAACCCAGTTATGGCGATACATACAATATAATATATGTATATATACTATATATACTATATATTGATAAACTATATATATTAATAAATATATACGTAAGATATCTTTAAAAGATCGATTCTAAAAGTTAATTAACAAAAAACTTGGAAAAGTTACAAAAATGTTCGAAACTTATTTATTAAGTTTAAATAAATAATTGGAATTTTTATTAAATAAAGCAAAATACAAATAAAGTGAGATAGTTTTGTGTATTATACTATCATTTTATTTTGGCTGCGCCTTATTTCATTTAATGTAAATTTAAGTTGCTTATAACTTATTTATTAAGTTTTAATCGATTTTATTTTTGTATATCAATTTTTGTGTTCGTTTTAATCTCTAAAATTGATTCTTAATTATATTAATACTCTACATACAAAAAATTCTAAAATTAAAAATAAATTTTAATATTTTAGAAAATAATGTTTTTATATGTTTATATTTCTATTTTAGAAAATAATCTATTCATAATTAAAATATTAATTGTTTGTATATAAAAAATATATATTATATATATATTATATTTATATTTATATTATTTTTATATTCATGGAATATTGTAATGATTAAACTATTTCTTCATCTTTTGAAATATTTTTAAATATGAAAATTTTTCTAATATTAAAATAGTACATTTTATTTAATAATAAAAAGAATATATTTTTATATTCTATATTTATATATTTAAAAAGTAATTATAGAAATATATTTTCTTCAACAATATTTTTAAGCTTCGTAATAGCTATAATAATTTCTTATGTTTGTAATAAAGGAAGATTCGAACAAAAAATGATTTTCTACTTATTTTTGTAATATTTTTTGAATATGTCGAAAAATGTATTATGAATGATGTTTGTGGATATATCGCATGCATGATTTGATACTATTATTTAACTATCGAATAGTGCTAGTAAATATATATTATAAATTAAGAAAATTTATTGATAATAAAAAATATTTTTATTTTAATAAATTTGCTGACAATCATTAGAGAAGTTTTTTTTCTCTTATTTTCTTTCTTTTTCATCTTTTTTTATTTTAAATTTAAATTTTCTTCGATTGATTTTAATTAAATTAACTATTTTATTGTTGAAAAAATATTCTTAATTTAAAATTAATGTTAAAAAAATAAATAATTAACAATTATTTTTTACATTATGCATATATTAAAATTTAGTTAGTCTTATGATTTTGATATATCTATTTTGAAAGTTAGTAGAAAATGTTTTCTTATTTAAATCTTTTTTTATATAAAAATTCGCTAAAAATTGTGAAGAGTTAAAAGAGAATATTTATAGTAATTAATAATAATTAGTAGCAATTAGTAGTAATTAAGTCAATTAATTGTTGTTACAAATTTACATTTTTATCTAAGATTTCCTAGAAAAATAATAAAATTTATAAAATAATTTAAAAAATAATTAAATTTGTAAAATAATTTAAAAAAATAATTAAAATTTGTAGAATAATTATAAAAGAAGAATAAAAAAAATAATAGAAATAAAAAAGAAAAAGAATTATAATTGTATAGAAAATACATCATTGTTTTTCATGATTTTGAAATATGTTGCGAAAGATAAAGTGTTATATAACTTTTCCTAACACATTTAATCATTGCTTTTTAAATTTCGAAGAATTTCTAAAAAATAATTGCTATTTTATCTATACATTATATTATCTATATTACATAATATTATCTATATTATTATTTAAATTTTATCTATTTTAAAAGTTTTAAATTTTTTAAAAGTTTTAAATTTCATGTCCATGGTAGCATATGTGTTAACATGAGATTTTCATTCATTATAATTGTTTATACATATAATATAATCAACGGCAACTGGCAAACAACTACTATTTTAATATAATATGAATTATATTAAAATATTTTTATTTTATAATTATATTATTATATTTATAAATATAAATACAAATATTATTATATTTATAATAATCTTGAACAAGAATTGTTTTATATTTTACTTTATATGCATTAGATCTCAAATTCAATATGAATAGAATATTTTAAATCCATTAAAATCAATGAAGATGTGAACATTTTACTCGATTATATTATCGATTTTTGATTATTATATATCAATTATATATGTCTTAGTTATCTGCCATTATATATATTTTGTCTTTTTTTATATATTGTTGAAATGAATAAATAAAGTTATTTAATTTCCATTATTAAAAAATATTAAAATAAATCAGTTTTTAAATTTATCTTTTCATTGTATTACGAACATTATATAGTATAAATTTAAATGAATCTATCTTCGTTAAAGTGATATCTTCATTTTAATGATTTTTAAATATTATTAATAATTTTCTTTAATATTTTTAACAACTTTTTTCTGTATATAACTGTTAATTGTTTTCAGTTTTGTAAAATTACTACTATTACATTAAAATTTGGATATTTCACAAATCTTTTGAATACACAAAATGTAAAAATAAAATGTGAAACAACTTTTAGACGATCAAAATTACAATGATCCAATAATAAATATGAAATATAAAAATATATTTTAGTTATCAATCGAATAATAAATAACAATTATGTTTTATCGACACATACAGTAAATGATTGCACAATCTATCACACTATATATATATATACCTATATATATCTATAATATTCAATATAATAGTAACAATTTTTTTTGTAAATATCAAAAAACTTTTGACTGAGTAATATATATAGAAAATTGAATAATTATTCGGAATAGAATTTTCTGAATTACTTTTAATGATTTTTAAATATGTAGAGGATAAAATTTTGAACAATTTTTTCTTTTGCATATTACCGCTCAATCAGTAATTTTTGAAATACAAAAAAAAATTGCTATTCAATCTTAATTTTCAAGATATTTGCAAAAAAAAATGGCTGCTAATACATAGAATTTCTCTTATATATATATATGTGATTACGTAGCGTAAGTCTGTGACAATCATTTATTTATTGTTTTTATAAACACATTGCACAAGCAGCCTTAAAAATAATAATGTTACAAAACTAATTTTTAATAATAATGTTAAAAAACTATTTTTTATAAATTATGATGCCTTAAAATTTAAATGTTTCAAATAACAAGCTTACAAATTCAAAATCCTTCGAACAATAAATAAATGAATATAAAAATATTCTTTATATCTATAGTTGTAATTACGATTATTTTAATTGATCACTCAAGGATTTTATATTTTATTTTATATTTCATTTTTGCATTTCAAAAGATCTGTGAAATATCCTCAGCATTGGATTTGAAACATTTTATTGCCCATCATAATTGATGAATAAATAGATTTTTTATTAATTCAGCCGTTATATTTTAATTTTTTGTTATCACTATCATATCCGCAATCGCGGATATAAATGTGTAAAAAAAATTCTATATAATAGCAATCTTTTTTTGCGAATATTTCAAAAAAACTAAAATTAAATGACGATAATATATAAAAGAAAAAGTTTCAAAATATTAAATTAGTCAAGATTTTCTATTTCAAATAATTATCAAAAATTGTTTAAATTGTTGTTATAACATATGTAAATATGTATGAAGATATCGCACATCGATATATTAACTAAATTCAATTTTATTTTCGCTAAATAATTCATAAGTCTTATTTTTTATCTTTGAATATTATTATTTTAACATAACATAATAATACATCATAAAATTTGTATATCCATTCATAAAATATCAAATATTATTATATATAATTATTATAATTATATATAATTATTATTAATAATAATAAATAGAATATTAAAATAACTATATAACAGATATATGTATATTTATGTAGAATATGTATTTACATATAGAATATATCACAGAATTTCCTTCTCCAATTCCACTGCCGTTATCTAACATTCAAAGATAAATATTCTCAGACAAGTTTCAACATTCAGTGACATTGACGTTACGTGGTAAGTACGTATTAAAAATATATATTTCTAATTCGTCAAGACTAATTTTATTCAATAAAAATTGAAAATAATTATTTATAATATTATTATTATATTATGGAAAAATATAATATTTATTTATTTTATTATTATTTATCATTATTATAATATCTATTAATTCCTTCTTTTGTTCATCATTTAGCTGGTATTTAATTTTCAATTTTTTATTTTTTTATTCTGTTAATTATTGAATAACATGAAATTTATAATATCGTCAATTATAAGAATGCTGAAAATCGAAAATATATAATAATATAATTATGGAATAATATTGTGCGATAAATATAATTCATACGCGAAAAAATCATATATCTGTTTACAAATTTAACTTTTTGTTAGAATTTATCTTAATTTAATCTTAATTTAAAATCTTTATATGAAATATGATCTAATAATGAAAACATATAATGAAAAAAACGATTGAAATAATAACGCAAATGCTTCGCATTTTTTTATACATATATATATTTAATTAATCATATTTATAGATACCATGAATTGCAGTGGTCCTGGTTATAGATCGCCGAAAGCAGCAATGCTCGAAGGCCCACGTGAGAAGCTTATGTATGTAGTGTGTATTCATACAGATAAAAATAAATCTGATGTTCTATGCACAGTTGATATAGATCCTAATAGCATAGATTATTGTAAGGTATGATAAATTTTATCAATTTTATCAATAAATATATAGTATATAAATAATAATATTATATATATATATATATATTTAATTATATTTTAATAATATAAGAAAAACTAATAGATAATGAGAAAAAAGTATTTAATAAAAACATTATTAAATTAAAATAAAAAATAATTGATAAAGATAATGAAATATTGAATTTTTATTTTCGATAATTTTGTTTCAGTAACAATATTTAAAAATATAAGAAATACATATTGTAAATATAAAATAACATACTATAATGGAATATAATCATTACATAATATGTATAATGCAGAAGTAGAAAGATGATTAAAATCTCTTGCAAAAGAATATAGATTAATTATTTAATAGTCCCAAAATATAAAATTCATACACACATTAGTTGAGAATATTAAATAATATTTATATATCTAAATAAATAATTGTATTGTCTATCTTATCATATAATTGTATTGTTTAGATAATCAAATTTGTATATTTATATATTTATTTATTGCATAGTTTTTATATATTTTGTATTTATGTACTAAAGTATATACATACTAAATTGTAATCAATTCGTGTAGAAAATTTTTTTAGAAAAATTTATAAATAAATTATGTAATGCAAATTGCCAAAATCTTGAACAAGTTGTCAAAAAAGCCGAATTCAATGATATGAAAACATATTGTTAAACTTTAGGAATTTTATTTTATTAAAAATTTTTAATAATTTTTTTCATTTGCAATAAGACATTTCAGAACAAAAATAAAATTGTTTTTTATTTTTTTAACGATCTTAGTCGTTTTAAGAGAGTTAATTTATCAACAATAGAATAATAAAATAATTACTATTTAATAATAATAAATAAATACAAATATTTTTTTATAAAAAAAATAATCCTAATTACTAGTTTAATTATTTAAATAAAAACTTATTATTTTGGACAACATTTCTCGTTTTTCACATTATTGTATATTATGATATAGATTGCTGCTTCATAATAGTCATATTTCTGTATATTTTGCTTTATTAATTCATTGAAAAATAACATCTTACGTCCTAAGTCATTTTAATTATTAATGATTAAATTCCAATAGATACATATTCCTATAAGTGAAATATCGTTATATATTCCAAATACATATTCACATTCAAAATTATATATGTAAAAATTATCTATGCGGAATAGATATGGATAAAAAATTTTAACATTGCGTAAAGACGAATATATTTAATATAAGAAATATATTATATTATTAATTATAAGAAATATTATTTTAAATCGAACAAAACCGAATAATATATACTTTTATATATAACTCAAAAACTAAAAGAATTAGCTCATTATATAATATATGTATAATACGAGAAAAACTTGTTGTTCTTAATAACATATGTATATGTATATATATTTTATTAAAATTAAATAATCATCAAATAAGGAAATAAGTTTTTCAGGAATTTTCAAAATTTTGTAAAAAAACATTCACTTCCATATAATATAATATATAAATAAAATATATAATATAAATATAATATATAAATAAAATTTTTATTTTTCACGTATATTAAAAGAATTAATGGAAAACACAATAATTTATACAATATTTGTATGGAAATTTTTATTAGAAATTTGCATATATATTACAACTTGTTCACAAGAAATATTTACATTTTATAGATTATTCATAAATTACGAATGCCTCATATTGGTGACGAATTGCATCATTCTGGTTGGAATATTTGTAGTAGTTGTCATAATAAACAACAAAAACGAAATACTCTGATACTTCCATGTCTGATGTCCGACCGTGTTTACTTCATTGATACAAGCTCTGAACGAACTCCATCAATCAAAAAAGTTGGATTATGTTTTATATAAATATATATAAATATAAATAATCGAAAATTTTATACATATTTCATTAGAATATCATTTCAAATTTTACATAATATTTCATATAAAAGAATGTTTCAACAGGAATAGAAATAAGTTTCCGTTTTTTTAATAAGGAATTAAGTTCGATAGAAGTAAATCAATATGGGATATCAACTTTGCACACAAGTCATTGTTTGCCAACTGGTGAAATTCTGATTTCTGCAATGGGCAAACCAAATGGAGATGCTATAGGTGAATTTCTTTGCATCAATGCAGAAACACTCAAAGTGAAAGGTACCTGGACCATAGGAGAGAAAAAAGCAGCATTCGGTTACGATTTTTGGTATCAACCGTATCATGACGTACTCGTTGCATCTGAATGGGGCATACCTAGAGTTTTCAAAAAAGGCTATACTGCAACTGATATAGCCGATCCTGGTTAATTATCATTTTCTATATTTATCAATTCCTTATTTATTTATTTTTATTTAATATTTTATTTAATATTTTATTTTTTATTTAATAATTTCGTTTTGCTTTTTTCTATATTCTATAGCAATATATGGAAGAAGCTTAAATTTTTATTCGTGGAACGAAAGAAAATTGAAACAAGTTTTAAATTTGGGTGAAGATGGAATTGCACCACTTGAAATACGATTTCTTCATGATCCAAAATCTAGCGAAGGATTTGTAGGATGTGCAGTTACTTCAAATGTATATAAATTTTATAAAACATTTAATGGAGAATGGGCTGCAAAAAAGGTGATTCAAATTCCTAATAAACAAGTGGAAGGATGGATTGCTCCACAAATGCCAGGTACATATACTTCTATCTATATATAATATATAAACATACAAATTCAAATAAATAATATTTTATAATAATATTATAAGATATTATAATAATATTTATAATAATATTATAAGATCAAAATTTATTGTTAAAATTGATATACACATTTATATATTTATCATTATCATTATTATTTATTATTATATCATTTCAATATATATAACAATTTATAACATATAATATGTAACACATTTATTTATTAAAACAATTATTTATTATTATTTTTATTATCATTTATTTATGTTTTCATATGTAGGAATGATAACAGATATTTTGATTAGTCTTGATGACAAATATCTCTACTTATCAAATTGGCTTCATGGAGATGTTAGACAATATAATATTTCTGATACAGAAAGACCAAAATTAGTTGGTCAAATTTTTCTTGGTGGCTCAATTTTAAATGATTCAAAAATTCGTGTAATTCAGGATAACGAACTTACTGAACAACCGGCTCCAACTTATATAAAAGGCCGACGTCTTTATGGATCTCCACAAATGCTTCAATTAAGTCTTGATGGAACACGTTTATATGTAACCACTTCCATTTTTAAGCCATGGGACCAACAATTTTATCCTGAACATGTCAAGTATAAGTTAAAGCATTAATTAATTTTTATTTATAATTTATTCAATAGTTTACTCAATTTTTTCTAATAATAATAATTATTACTTTCCTCTACTTTCTATATATATTCATACAAGATTATTCATACTTTTATATATATTCATACAACATTCTCCTATTATTCTTAATTTATATATAAAAATGAAAAAGAATATAAAGCTCTTATTATGCTTCATAAATGCATAAACAATTTTTTCATTATAATAATTTATTTATTTATTTATTTATACAATGAATTTTAATTAAATTAAATTAAGAAATGTTATATTGTCATATTATTTAATCACTTCAGGAAAAAAATATTTTATTTTATAATAATATATTTTAATTTAATTATATAAATTATTGTTATTATTACTATTATTATTATTATTGTTAAAAAAATTATTAATGTGATAATTTATAAACTGTGATAAATACTTTATATTTTATATTTTTATGTCATTGATATAATATTTAAATAATATTTTTACATACACAATAATGATTTCAAACATAATTCTAAATATAAATATAAATAATATAATAATTTTCATAGTTATTAAAAAAGATTTAAAGAAACAATGATATATATGTTTTTAAAATAAAAATATATAGAAAGTTTTCGAAAGCATAGAAAAAAAGATAATTTTTAACATAAAATTAAATTGAAAATATAAAATAAAATTTTCATATGTAACTCTGTTTTTAAAAAAATTAAATTTAAAAATTTATTGAATATATAATAGATTCATTATATTTTCTATTATCTATATATATATTTACAAAAAATGAATATATATATATATATATATTTATAAAAAAAATTAAATAAAATTTTAAAACAAAAAAAACATTAAAATAATAAATAAATATAAAAAATCATAAGATCCAATAATTTATTTTGTAATACTAAAAATATTATTTATAAATTTAGCAAATTATAGAAGTGAACTAATAATAATATTTTTTTTTGCTTAAG